GACACCTGAGGTAAGGGGATGACTCCCAAAGGCTCAGAAAGGGGGAGATGAAGGCAGTGGGGTTTGGGAGTCAGATTCCTCTTCTGCTGGACTTCCCCTCCCCGGCTGCGTGCAGCTCTGAAGCAGATGAGGCAGGGTTTGTGCAGTGGCAGGTCTGTTTGACTGGGCAGGCTGCTCCCGCTGCCTTTGTCTCCTTTGTGCTCCCGAGTCAACCTTTCCTTACCCGCTCAGTTCCGTAACACTTTCCCTGCAAATCTTACTTTCCCCACCCAGCTCGGTTTGTGCTCTGCTGTGGCAGTTTTTCCGCTGTGTTTAAGCTGCAGGTTCCAGAGGGATGGTTCTGCCAGAGCGTGGCTGCGGGTGAAGCGCCGCCGTTTGCGGGAGCGGGCGGGAGGTGCCGCTGTGGGGGCCGGGGCCGGGCGCTGGCAGTTCTGCATCCCCAGCACTGCAGAGCGGCTGGCGGCCGCTCCCGGGGATGAGACACTGGCGTGGGCTAGCAAGGGTGAGCGTTAGCCAGAGAAAACAACAAGTTTTCCCAGTGGAGTTGGTGCTCACTCCTCCAGCCCCTTTTCGCGAGGTTCCCAAATGGGAGCAGCACGCTGGGGCCTCCTGCGCAGCGCCGGCCTGTGATTCACAGCCAGGGGCGGCACAGGCCACTGTGGAAACTGGTCTGATTCTCTCTCTCCCAGACTCTCGGCTTTCCAACAGCCCTGCGCCTCATCCTGAGCTCCCTGCCTGCTTTTTCACAGCCTCCAGCTGCTCCCTCGGAGCCCCTGCCAGGGCGTGAGGAGGACATGCCCGCAGCAGGAGCCCTGCCAGCACGCCCTGCCCAGCGCTTTGTTCCACCTCACTTTATTTTCACACAGGGCTCTGACAGCCCCTCTGCTCTTCTCTCAAGGACACATAACAATGAACAGGCAGGAGATAAGAAGGCCTGGCAGCGGTTTGCTGGTCAGCAGTCGGCTGCCTGTGGGAACTCAGCCTTGGCTGCAGAGCTCACTCAGGATGTGCCCTGGGAGGCCCAGGTCCACAGAACCTTCCCTCGCCCTGCAAGGCTGCCTGAGGCCCCGCTGGGGCCAGAGGCCGACTGCCCGCTCTGGGGCATCTCCACACCCAGCTGCAGGCGAAGCAGAAGCACTTGGAGCTGGTTTCCTGCTCCAGGCTCTGGAAGGGGCTGCGGGCTGTGGTCAGACCCCACGGGGTGCCGGGGCCCACAGCGATGTTTTCAGGGCTGTTTATTTTGGCATCCTGGATCTACAGCAAGTGTTGACCTCGATCCATCAGCCTGGGTTTGTTGGGAACTCGGAAGAAAGATGCCTCCTGCCTCTGTTCTGCCTTTTCCTCACCCGTGTCTGCAGAGCGTTGGGATGTGCACAGAGGTAGACACAGACAAGATCTCCCGGCTGCATCACACGTATCAGGAATGCTGTGCCCCCCGGATGACACCGTGCCTGTATCACAGTAAATTGCATTTAGATTTGGCAGGTAGAGCAGCGGGTGGAAGAGATCTGACACAACCCCTCAGACGTACCTGCCACTCACAGCCACGCTTCCCTGTGCTGCTGTTTTGATCACAGAGACAATGGAGGCGATTGTCAAGCGGTAGCTGGTGCTCAGCGAACGTCGGTTCACTCCTCACGGTGACAGCAGGCTGAAGAGACCCTCCCAGCACAGAGTATCATTCCCAGGAAGAATGCTGCCTTCGCTGGGCTGAGGCTGCTCCCGTGTCTGCCCCCACACAAACGCGAGCTGCAGAGCCCGCGGAAGCGCAGCACAGACAAGGGCACGGCCGGTGCGAGGCCACATTCCAGGTGCGCAGAGAACAGGATCCCACCATGTCCTCCTCGAGGCAGGCATCTTCTCGACTGCAGGCCTCAGCGAAATCTCTGAAAGGGGAATCCTCCTTACCTTCACCTTCCACTGCAGCACTGGTAACGTACTGACAATTATAGTCCCAAAACTACAGGCTTAGCAGATCCACGTGCTGTGCACCCATTCGAACTCAATTCCTTGGTCAGCAAGTCTTACCTCATGGAAAACGCACAAACGTCCCTTCAGTGCGCTCCCCGTGGCTCTCGGGGCACGAGGGAACCGTGCGACAGCAGGACGGGGTCACACGCTGTGTGTGTTGCAGTGGGCGATGGGTTTCTCTGCACCACTGAAGATGCTGCTGCTGCTCAGGGGCCGCGGTCCCCGCACCGACAGTGCCAGCAGCTCGTCCTGCCCCGGCTCGCCTCGGGCACGTCGGCTGCTCTGCAGGGAAGAGTGAGCGGTGCTGAAACCCAGCCCAGGACCCTTCTGCAGCAGCCCCCGAGGGCAGCCTCATCCCTGGACTGCAGCAGGCACCTTCCCCGGAGCCCCGCTGGGTGCAGGGGAGGGACCCGACCCGGCCCAGGCACACGCAGCCCGTAGGAAGCTGCCCACTGTGTTGGGCCGGCTTAAAGTGAGGCTTCATAAAGAAAAACACTTCTCCCCAGTTTTGGGAATATGCAATCCAATGTGTTCGGGTTATGCAATTAATTTCTCAAATTAAACGGAAAAGGAACTGGTTTTGAGGGTCCCCGCCCTCCCCATTTCTGCCACCCTCCACGTGATCAAGAGTTGCCAAACTGACAGTGTTTCATTGTGACGGGTGATTTCAAACACGAAGGTGATGGGGATCACTCCTACTGCTAGAGCAACCATTTCCACTCTGCAGGGAGTGTGGGGCTGGGCTCTCCCCGTCACCCCACAGCCGGCGCTGGTGGCACAGGAGCCCTGGCCAAGGGGTGCAATGGGCCTGACGCCGCGAGCTGCAGCACTCGGAGTGGGGCGCGAGGCGCAGGTGCGGGGTGTGGGGTGCGGAGTGCGGGGCGCGGGGAGGCCAGCGCAGCGGGGAAGCCGCATTTCAAGCAGCTGGATCTGGCGTGAGAGGGCACGTGTGTGTCCCAAGGGACAGAATGAGAGAACCGGCCCTTTTCCTCCTCCCACCCTGCCCCTCTTCGTGTGCCCTCGGCGCTGCGAGCCCCTGCCCCTCCGAGGAGCCTCCTGTTCCCCGCAGGACAGTGATGGGTCCGCAGCCAACCTGTGGGGTCCCCCGACCCCCACACTCTGTCCAGCTGCTGCTGGGCCCGATGGATCCTAAGGAGAGGTGTCCTGAGAGAGGGGGGAAAAGGGAGCTGCTCACCTCCAGAGGAGCGTTGCAGAGGCTCCAGATCACTTTCTCGATACAGAGAATTCTGCAGCAGTAATTGAGGTTTTGTGCCTCCTCAGCCTGTAACACACATGCTCTGACTGCAGTCTTTCCAGCAGAAGCCTCATCAGATGAATGCCTCCTTGCTTTAATCCCTGAGATTGCTAAAGGATGCTGCTTTCATCTGATAGCATTTATGGACTGTTATAATGAGTTTTGGCTTGCCGAGATAAATTAAATTGCTCACCCAGAGGTGCAAACTTCATTAATTCCAGCAGCGAGTCAGATCAGTGTTATTCTAGCACAGAATGTAAACAGACTGGACACATGAAAGAGGATTTGGCTGGGATTTTTTTCTCTTTCTTTTAACCTTCCTAATTGCTGTTGATTTGTATCTTTTTGCTGTGTGTGCTCAAACTCTACTGCTGCTCCACCTCTTCATCTTCTAGGGGAAACCATCAAATCACACTCTATTGGGGACTAAATGATTTAACTGCTGAGTGTTAACAGTTAGCAATACTGTACAGTTTTGCCTGGCACGTTTCTAGCTCTGTCACATTATTTGACAAGTCCAAAAAGATGCTGAAGAGTAGATCTGATGAGAAATTAAAGTGTGTCCCCTATTTCTGTCCCAGTTAGAGGCTTACCAGTGGAAGCAAGACGTTGGAGACTGAGACAAATGACACAGAAAAGACAGGTACCGAGTTACCAACGCGTGCACCAATCCAGAGAAAGCGCCACTGGTAATGTGATGGGCATGAGCTCTGGCTGCGTCCTCGGGGGTGACACTCATGCACCCCTCACTAGGTACGTGCCTGCATCTTGCAGGGGTCACGGCCATACAACAGAGCACAGGAGATTCCACCCTCGTTATGTTCATCTGCTTCCTCACCTCTAAAATTAGGTCCAGAGCCGTGACTGGCTGTAGAGGACCAGGCTTTGAGGCTCTGTGCAGGCACAAGAACAAGCTGTCACAGGCTCCAGGTCCTTTGGCAAAGCTTGGTTTCTCCCAGTACGGGTCCTGAGGATGTCTTCTAGTTTCTTTGTATGGGAAATCAGACCAATGTAACACAGTAAAGTTAATTCATAATAGCAATTAAAACCCCTGAGAGCATGGATCAGCAAGGGAGGATCTAGCCCCTGAAGAAGCATTTTCAGGAGCAAATGTGTGGGAGCCATCTGTCGCCTCACATACGTGGTGATAGTCACAGCATGTCTCTCTCTGCATCCTATTCTGAGAATTTACACCGTGACTGTAGGTTGCCTCGCCTATCTCGCAAGTGCTGCCTGCCAAAAGGTGCATTGCACCAAATGGGACACAGGGCTCAGCGGTGACAGTGCCCCAAGTGGCTCTGAGCAAAAGGCGCTCTCGGCTGCTTCTCCCCCCCCAGGGGGAAGTCGAACCGGCTGGCGGGTTTGCAGAGGTCTGGAGTATTCACTACAGAAGGTTTCCTGCCTCCTCTGAAGCAGGGTCACAATAATCTGTTGGTTGGGAGCAAAAAAACTAATTCCTACTGCGAAATACGGCGAAGAGCTTTCAGAAGCGAGGGTGTTGGTGGGGGGAGCAGCTCGCTCCAGGTGACACCCGTGGCCACCCAGCGCTCCTGTACCTGCAGCTGCAAGCACAATGGGCTTTTCCGTCCATTCCTCCACGTAAAAGCTGAGCAACATGTACATACATAAGAAGGCCAAAAAAACCCTACAGGGCTTACAAAACATGACACAGTGCTGCACAAGCTCCTTTCCTTGGGGAGGATGGAAGGAAACAAGCATGTGACAGTTACTCATCACATTGCTTCAGGCAAGACTAGGAGGCAGAGAGCTGCTGCGGCAACACACATGGCAGAGCTACGGGACGAGGAACTGGCTGGCAGCAGCTCCCTGGCCCGTGTAACGCAGGAGTCAGACCAGGTGAGGACCTGAGCGATGCTGCGGTGGCTCCAGGACAGCCTCAACCCCTTGGCTGAGGCCTCACCTGGCACGTGGTAAGAGGAGGGGGGACCTGGACTCTCGCTTGACCAGCCGAAGGACGCACCTCCCGCCCCGCTCGCCCTTGCCCCGGCCCCGGGCGTGCACCCACGACACGGAGCTGCGTGGCCCACCACAGCTCTCCACACCACGTCGGCCTCGGCCGGCAGCCGGGCAGCGCCGGGA